TTGTTGTGTCCTGTAACGTTTAAGACCATAGCGCACTAGTCTAAACTTCACTTCCGTTTCCAAAGAAACCAAGCAAGCTTTAGCTTCAGCGGTGTAGGGATCAAAACTACACATGTCAAAGATGTACTGAGTACATTTTCAAGTTATTTGGTTGAATTCTAAAATTTGATACCCGTGTTACGGAAAGTTCAAACTTTCAGGAGAATTGCCCATATATATAAACTTGTTCATTGTGCAAGTAGACTTTCTTTTTAGCTTTGTGCCTTCCAATGTTTTGAGATCTTGACTTTCCCATTGTCTGATGGATTAGAATTGTGATTTACTTTGAACATGAATTTTTAGGGTGGTTTTTTGGGGCAATAAGGGAAAATCCTTTTTTTCTCTCTATTTTCACAGATGATTGAACCCCCTTCTTTTCTTTCCTTCTGTAATTTCAGTCTTGTATTTCTCATTCTTTACCACCACTAAATTGCCATTATTGTCCCACTGTGCTTTCCATTACTCAAAATAAACACAATTAAATTTTCAATGTCCTCTTCAAGGATTTTCTTTTTATTGTCACAATGTGCGACAATGTCTGTCTTGGAATTTAGAAATATTTTCATGTGTATTCAAAAGAGTTATTAGCAGTAATTCATTGTTTAAAACTTTTTTTCAGCTCTCTTTGAGGGATGGTTGTCGGAAAATTCTGGTGGCTGACAGTTTCAACTTGATGGAACGCCTGGTGAAAACACAAAGAAGAGGTGTCTTTGTGGATGGTCAGTTTACATGAGTGCAGGTCTAAATCAAAAGATAAAGACACTATAATAATATAAAATATTAGGTAGCATAAACATGGTGCGTAAGCTAACTCATGGCCCTCTGAGCTTGTGGTTTTGGTGAAGTTAAAGACATTCGAATAGCCGTTTCTTTACTGTGTTGCTAGAAAAACACCAAATACTGTACACCATCAAAAGGTTCAGCTTTTCCCAGTTACACATTGATGTAAGTTTATATGTCCGTGTATTTGGAGCTAGAGAATCACTGTGGAAAGCAAAACCCCTTACAGTCAGAATGTGAAGTTTGCCGGTTAAAAAATTGATACTGTTTGGCATTGAGGGGAGTGGAAACAACAATGGACTTTGTTATGGTGTCATGGCTTCAAATATATGTACACCTGCTCTTGCACTCCCCTCGCTGTTTCATTGAGGTATTATACAAGCCTATCATTGCTGTTGATCTACATAATTGTACTTTTACTTTGTTTCACCAGCGTCAAAACAGCTGTGAAACATCTGATGTTACACATTGGAAAAAAATCAATAGAGCGGTTGCACACTTCAACTCGAGGTTAACTCACTCAACCCTAGGCCTACACTTCCAGGTTGTCAGCTCTCCCTAGAAATTTTTACCACTTCTTGAAAAATTGAAAAAAATTAAAAATTTTAACATTATATCCTACCCAAATTTGATTCACATTTCATTCAAACCTTTTTAGTTTTAGTTTAGTATAGGTTTTACGGTGTTCGCAACTGCACAAGGTCTTATGAGCGCCAGAAAATAAGAGGTGTTACAAGAGAGTAACAAACATAAAAAAAGAAGAAGGGGAGATAAGGACAATAGATGTTTGACAGGAAAGAAGAAGCAAACCACGTCAGAGCACCCACCAACCACCCACTTTCAAACCTTTATTTGCACGTTTTGAAAGTCTGAAGGCAAAATATGTCATAGTTTTTATGCAATAATCCGTGGAAAAAGGTCTATCTACAGAGTCAAAAAGTAAAAAAAACGCAAAAAAAGGAAATGACTTCAAATTTTGCACCCCCTCACTTGGTTCATGAATATAGCTTTCTTTGGTCTAAATTTGGGCTTGCGCTTCTGGTCATATTTTAATTCTGTTTGAAACGAAAAATGGTTACTCTTCCGATTGGGCTATAGTCTGCTCACACAAAAGTAGTGTTTTCGGTCACATGAGCAAAATTTTCCATACCAATACTGTCGGTGTTAAGGTTGGAGCATTGTGTTAGGGCTTGGTGAATTAAAAAAGAACTTCACCTCAGGTGTTTTAATGGTCGTGTTGAACTCAAACCTGGAGAAGAATCACAGGAATTGATGTACAGAAAAGTGGGAAGACATGGAATAACATCAAGAGGCTAGCGCAGGATAGAGAAAGGTGGAAAGTGAGTCAGTGGCCTATACCCTGGTGCAGGGGGAGAAAGGCAATGATGATGAACTTAACAATTTGACTTTATTAAATATAAAGAAAAAGAGGTGCCGGGACCCAAGAAAAAGATCAATTTGACTGCAAATCTATTCAAGCAAGTTCAACACAAGTGAAGTCGACTGTTAGAACAGCCATTTTCTTGAAAATTGACTGAGAGTTAAAAGAATGGCCTCAAAATTCTCAGGAGGCATACTCGTTAGTAATGGGGCGACTATTTTTTAAATTTGTTTGTTTTCGTGGATGTAGCATCATGACTTCAAATTTCGTTATGTAAAATAATGTTGAAAATACACCCCCCAACCTGATATAAATGCTCATGCCCCTTGTCATATACAAAGAAAGACAAAAATAACTATCCATTACCTAGAAATATGGATAAGCTATCACTGTGCTAAATTTCAAGTCTCCAGGGCAATAAGTAAGCGAGATTTTAGGATTTTCGTGGCATGAAAAACACCATTCAGAGAAAATGGCCATTAAAGTAAAAAATGACCCACGGTGATACTATTAGTAGCCATATGAAACAAAATTTCACATACAGCATGCTTATCTCAACAAAATGGTATACCGGGTTTGATATCTAGACACATTCAGGTATTCACTTTTGCAAAAACCTCAGAAACGATATTTTGACCCACTTTTCAGCTAAAGCCTCACTCGACCACCTCCTTCACTTTTCAAACTGAAGTTAAAAAAATCTCTTGGCGATATATCTCGTACCTTTCAAACAATGAGCAGTGGGAGCTGATAGTGCTAGCGAAGTGTTCAGCTAGGTTTTGGTGGATTTGTTTGATAGTTTGCTAAAACACCTCTAGCCAAGGTAAAAATTCTTAGATAACTATTTAAACATTTTCTGATAGAACAAAGAATGCTTCATCAACAAAAGTAGTTTGAAAAAAGCAAGACGAGTAGATTATGAGTAATTAATGGTTATTAATCATCTATTTTTCTACTTGAAATATCTTGAGACTCAGGAGTCTGGCATCGACCTGGAAACAACCGTTTTGAAGGCCATCCAAAGTTCTTTAAAACCATGTAGAGTACGAGTACCACAGCGCGGCCAAACTTGACCGCGGCCAATTCCACGAACTCCCTTTTCCGATCGCTTCACATGCTTTGTTATCTCAGAGTGGTTTCCCCTTTGTTACACACTGGGATTTCTACCGCCACCCAGTGCGTGCACGCGTTGTTTTGCATTTTATTGATCTTACAAGTTTCGTCCATTGGAAACTTCGTTTTTCATGTTTCAAGGTGAGTTGCTTTCAATATCATGTTCTCTTCACAATAAGAGTGTTATTAGTAGTACTGGCTATAAAGTCCACTTAAATTGAACAAAGTATCGATGTCAGGTGATTAAATTAGCCTCGCTGTAAGTTTAACAAAGAAAATTGCGTGGCCGCGGTGAGGACAAGGCTTTTTTGTTTCAAGACCAAGCACGGCCACGTGTGGCCGCGGTCATGGCAAGTTGAAGAGAGCTGACACCAACCGCGGCCTGCCCACTTTCAGTAAGGCGTGGGTTCGTAGGTTTAACAATCATGTTATAATAATGTGTTTTACTGTCAGAAGGCTAGCACTAGATTTAGGATGTTTGATCATATTCTACGTTATATTAACATTGCATACACGGTGCGACCCATGAATCCCATCACCTACGGGGGG